AAAAAAAAAATCCAATCCTAACTGGGCTTAACTGGGATCTTGAACTTTTGCCTAGATGCAATGCATCGCGACTTCACATGCACACTTGGAACTGCAAATATGGCTTACCATTACCAATATGTCAAATTCGGCACTTACCATTGACTTGAAGAAGGGCTCCGAGGCCAGGGTGAGGTTACACCACTCGTTCTGCAGCAGGTAGCGGAAGTTCGCGCCGGCGATGAAGGCATAGTTCCCCTCGGCAGCCCGCCGCAGACCCTCCTCCTTGGTGTCCAGTATGGCGGTGTCGGCGTTATCCTCTATGTACTTCCCCATTTCACGGTAGGGAGAAAGGGTGGTGTTCTGCACGAAGTCTAACAACGTGTAACTTTTGTAGGTTCCTGTCGAGGATCAAACATTGATATTAAAAGTGAATGGTAGTAAATCTCCATCTTCTACAAAGGATCATCAAAAAGTACAAGAATTACCACCTTTGTGCAATGATCCACATATCATGGACTTTTGCTTTTGAATATCAGATTATGCCATTTGACCTCACCGTTGGTACATATTGCAGTTGCCTTCAAATTATACCTCTATTGTTTCCTTTGTTCTTTATCATGTTGACATGTGTGGTTATCTGAAGAGGCTGGCATACGTTAACTACTGTTACTAGCTTTTTTTAAATTACAAGAAACCATCAAACGCAAGACAGCGTGCCAAAAAAAAGGTTGCCTCTCGTATTAATGCTTACTTACCATAGGCCATGGTGCGATCAGCGACGAGTTGCTCCAGGGTGTGGATGGCGTAGATTTTGTTCGCCCTCCCGAGGAAGGCCGCCAGGTTGGCTGTGTACGAGGCTACGGTCACCAGAATGAAGAACCACCAGGTTCCTGCAACAACCTGAAAACAAGTGGAGAAACAGAAATCACAAAGTGCAAGAACGTTATGACGGAATTCGAAACTACTTTAATTGTTAATTTTGTGATGTATGTATGTCGTTTTATATGATTGTATTTGCTGTACTTTTTCTGTGCCATGTAATTATGTCATTTTAAATGTATGTGTTTGAGCCTTGGAAGATGAATTAAATGAAATAAAAACTTTAAAGATCTTGGTACAATCAGATTCATTCCTGCATAGATTAAATGACTCACTCACCCGCCCAGCAATGGACTTCGGCAGGTTTTCTCCTCCCTGCCCTACCAGACAGCCATAGGTGAACCACAGACTTTGCACCAGGTTTAGGTTCTTGCCTTCATCCTCTTCCACCAGACCTCGCTGTGCCAGCCCGCGCCATTCAAATGGGTCCAGTCTATGAAGGAAAACACGATGGACATCATAATTAAGCTCAAAGATTTACAAACAGATGTCATATTAACTGTACTGTGTTCTATTGATGATCGATTGTTGTATGTCTACACTAGTAAAGATATATCATTGATAAAAGCAACCAAACATGTGATGTTTATAACAAACCACACTTATAAACTGTTTATCATAATGATTGTAGAAATTGATTTGGCCGCGTGTTTGGGTCTTAAAAAATTATTTTAACAATTTACTACGCCTTGAAAAGGTCGCAGTCATACATAATTAGCCATTAACCTTAAATTTTCAAAGCTGACCATGGTACCTGACAATGACAATACAATACCAATACACGGTTAATCTGTAATATTTATACAAAACACAATAATCTTATGGTATCGCAATTATATTCACTTACATGTTGATAAAGAATAGTGACACGCTGACTGCGACGACAGCTGCCCCAATCGCAGCCCAAACTAAGTTGTCAAACGGGGCGAGAAACTCAAATATCCCGGCGACGTCCATGATGTTGAGCGTGGTGTCGGCCCGTTTGATGATGATGTAGTAGCCTTGGTGGGCGACGGGGAAGGAGTACTCCAGAACCTCAGTACGTTTGGAACGTGTGGTGGCTCCGTAGAGCACCGTGTCAGCCTGTTGTGTTGATAATACATACATTAGGGCAAACATGAACTGGCACAATATGGTGAAACAATATGCAATGGACTTCATGATATGTTAATACACGTACCTTTGTTTTTACTGCATCAATACACAACAATACACAAAACAAGGCTAGTGTGGCGCTGCACTCAAGTTTATAACGTATTTTAACAGTGTCACACAACAAAATACAACATATAAATACACAAAGTTGACATAACAGTGCATCATAGTCCCACCACCCCAACGCATTAAATAATATTAATGGTAACCAGGTCATAAAAAGTTATTGAGTGACTTCTATAACTAGCCTGGAATCCATCCGTGGACGCTTTGTCTCCGAACGGATCGGAGATAAAGCGTTCACGGATGTATTCCAGGCTATTCTATAACTGATTGACGAAGAAAATGTTGCCGCCAATCTAAATATGACATATCCACGCTCTAAATACATGTTGAGTAGTTCTGTATGTGATACCTTTTACGTCGGGAGGGTTCTCGAATAGTCTCAAACCATACTTCCAGGAATTCTAAATGCGACAATACAGGAAAAATCTTACCTTCTTATTGATCAGTGCACCAGTTAGTCCATCCCATTCACCTTTGACCTTGTCGCCGATAGACAGTTTTGTCAGGTTCATCTCCCACGTGAAGCCAAGACGTTTCTACATTAACAAAATCACAGAATCTCACATGAACTCTGAAATACCATCGAAGGTTTATAAATTATATTAAATAAGCACACTATGGCCCAGAATATGATAGATACAAAGCTACATGATATATCTACAAAGGGCAATGCACCACGAAATCTTCATAATGCAATTACAGAGAATCACGAGAATTGAAGATTTTATCCTATGTCATTTGGTGGTTTTATTGTAATGACATTACCTGTAGGTGGTCCATTAAATCAGGGAAGAAGCCAGCGAAGTTCTTTCTAGGACAGACCACTCCGAATTTGCAGCTAGCGCCTTCTTTCATGACCAGCCATGGATTTTTCTGTAAATAACATCAAGAGCTACGAATCTGCAAAAAATACTGTCATGACATTTTTTAGCCAATGTAATTCGTAAACAAATACGTTATCCCCAGTCATTATTGGTTAAAGTAATAGGAATGACCAACCTCTTTGGTGATGACAGCTTTATGTATCATTAACTCGGTTTACTCTAAAATAGGCTATAAATTTTCAATTTGCACTTAGACTATATGCCATCACGTACATAATGGTGCACTGTGCGTCTCGGGTAAAGTTTCTTTAATTATCAACTACCCTATTGTATTGATGACGTGGGGTATAGCAAGATATTACAGACCTAGTAAAAATTACCGTTTGTAAAAGAGAACCATACTTTATACTCCGTATAGAGTATGAGACAAAAAATAAAACATCAAACATAAAGATGACAGATTTTGCCTTCTGCCTTCGTTTCAATAGAACTAAACAAAATTGAATATAGAGGTTTAATGATTTATTTTAAATTACTCATAGAAATGTTATTGTCATGACTAGAAAATAAATATTCTGTTGAATGTTCCAGTTCCATACCAGTCTTCCAAGGAGCTTTAAGTGTCGTCCTCCTAAGATAGGATCGGCAGACTGTTCGTGTGTGAAATTAGCCCATTCTTCAAGACTGACTCCAACCCCTTCCTGCCAATGCCCCACCTTGAGAAGGAAATCAAACACCTGCTGAGTTGCCTCTTTAATGATTAATTTATGAAAGAGCAAGAACTGGCCGTAATAATTGACACTCACTGTTACCTATGTTCTAACATTAGATTTATTGTCAACGACAAGGTTGACGGAGCATAGCATTCCTTAATGAAAAGGATGGTAGTGGCGACAAAATGTCTCACATGTGCTGGCCGTCCTTCTGACGATAGCTCCATTATCTCAAGAGACAGATCCATCCGCGTCCCCTCTGGACCGAAGGCCACCTCCCCTGTACTCCCGTTGAACCTAACCTGTTTGTAACGTCATTACCATCGATTGAGCGTAAAAACATAAAGGGCTGGCGATTTTCTATCAGCACTCAAATAGAGATGGACGTGCAATAAGAGGTGACTGTGTACATTTTAGGGGTAATTGTCTCGTAACAATTTATGTTTTAATACTGCACTAAGTGGTAAAAAGATACAGATCATGGTTCATCTCCTACGTGGGTCATGTAAATACTTTAATTACATGAAGTACAACTAACTGTCAAATGCAATGGTGAAATCCATTTCTTGGCAAAACAGTCAAATGACAACTTGAGGAACGAAGAGATGTAAGATACAATGATGATACTTCAAATTCTTCTAAAATCTGGGACCCCCTTTATGCAGCTTTGTAAGACTTGAACAAAATGTTTCTAGTCTGTGTAACAGAAAAGTCTACTTCTCAAGATTATGTGCCTCTAAACCAGAAGAATGATTGCCAAAATGAGTATGCCAAAATGTATATTAAAAAGTACCTCTGGCACTGCAGTCCGTATTCCGTGGCAAACGTCCTGCTGTTCGGCAGAAATCCGTGCTGCGTGTGATACGACAGACGCCGCGTCGAAGGCCAGGGTGTTTTGGAGAGTGTAGACTTGCCTCGTTCTTTGAAAGGCATCCTCAAACATAAAATTTAAATGCCACCGGGTCCACAGCTTGAAAACCGTCAGATGTACTCCGGTATTCCTGTATTCAAACAGTTCGAGTTCACTCACTTCCTGCAAGAGAAAATTATATAGAGTTGATGTGTGCCTTAAAGTATCCATGTGTCCTAGAGATGTCTAGAAATTTCCTAGAGATCCTAAAGTTTCAAATCTCCTCTTCAATTAAGATTTTGAAAAGTTGTTTGTAATACTCACCAGGTTTGAAAGAATCCAGTGATGCCTTGGATCAAGCATTAGATGACCATGAGCCTGTAGGGGTAAATAAAATAAAATGTTATGAAGCCGTCAATCGTTACTAGTTTGATGTATAATATGCCAGGATTAACAACAATCAAATGGAAGAACTTGTTCATAAGGAATTTTTCTTGGCATCCCACTTTTTTTGAGATAATGATGATAATAATAGAATTGAATTAATAATTTCTTATTCATAAACAGGGCAAAGCAAAAATGTCGTAAAGCAAATGGTACCAAATTGACGTTGAAAAAGGACAAAATAACTGTAGCTGAGGTAGCTAGATAATGAAATAATTGCCAATGCTAGTGATGTATATATGTACGGATGATGTGATATTTGCTATAACGTCCAAGACTCTCGCTTTACAAAGAAAGTGACAGAAATAGACTTACCTGGTGAAGTACTTTGTTGGTTGTTTCGGAATCTGCAATAAGAAGGAAATGTTTTTCCTTGCGATTCTTTGAGCTCCTGAGGAAGACCTCCAGTTGCTCAAGATGGGCGCTGTCTTCTTCCGAATCGGCAATCTCCGCCATACGGTAGAACGTGTCAGACTGGCTCATCAACGACATCACTTCTTCTGCCACTTCGTGGTAACCTGCAAGGAAAGGTCACCATTTGGGTTTGTTACTCTTCACCACAAGATTGTTGCTAAGGCCAGTGTAACAAAATCTCGCCATATCACGTTGGCAATTTCTCGCGAGACTCTCGCAAGATTAGGTCACTCCGTGATCAAGGTGTACAGTCGACACCGAAAAGTTGATGGTACGTGATTTTACCTTACAAAAAACAGTCACTGATTGAAGAATATTCTGTTAATTCTACGTGACTGATGACGAACCTCTTCAACAATAATCGCGAGACTTAGTAATAATCTCGCGCAGCAGGCTCACATGCACTGACAATCCGTCTCATCTGCAGCTATAATGTGTAGGGGAAACAGCATGTAAGATGAAAGGCACAGCTACAGTGGAACAAATAGAAAAATAAGATACTGCAGGACGTTTTACATAAACAACAGTAGGACTTCAATCCCCTTACCTCCGGTCTTATGGTAGAATATGGTTAGAGAACGCCAACCGAACTTCTCTATCGTCTGTTGTAAGGCCATGGCCAGCTGGTTAGCTGACGGGACGATGTCCAGGGTGTGGACGTTGATCAGTTCGTATTGGTTCTTGTTGACGGGAGGGCCCACCCGTATGATGGGCTGTGGCAGGGCGCGTAAGATGAATGATGAGTCTGGGCAGTGATCGTCCCAGCAGTCCAGCACCACGGTAGCACAGACCTCTTCATCGCGGAAATTGGCTACTTCTGTGTAAAGATAAATCAACAAACGAGATGGACAAAAATGCATTCATTTGGCGCTCTGCTGCAGTGCTAAGAAAAGCCACGAAGCCGCTGAAATTTCATGTAGATATAGGAAAAATTTCTTGCAAAATATTGATAGCATCTTGTTGGTATGTCCTTCAACTATATACAGTCACACTGTGCCACTGTCTCCGCTATCAAGAGTATCCAAAACATAACGGTTACCTCATTGACAAAGGTCACCACAAGCACAACATATCCTACCAAACTGTGAGGAGACCATTTTCACACCTCCAATTTGACCTCGCTTTCTCCCAGCCCCAAATAAAGGACCATTTTGACTTCCTGTCAGTCTGTGGTTACACCATTTCCCCCTTACTATGACTCTACCATATTCCAAAAAACTACAGACACACAGGCAAACAAACTAAATAACAAACACACTGAAACAACACTCTAGAAAACTGAAGTACATGTAGCACAAACCTGCACTTAAGACAGGAAGGCTGGCACTTTTGACATCGAGTGATTTCTCGACTATGTTGATCTGGACCGTTTCCGGGAAGTCCTGACTTTCCTGGATGGCTCTCAGGGCCTGGTCAAAACTCGGGAAGGCTGATCCAAGATTCACAACACCTGTGTGACAAAAACAAAATAGATAAAATATTGTTATGAACTGAAATAACTTCATTACAAAACTGTATTCCTTTTTGTATTTGTGTAAAAGGATAAAATATTGTTATGAGCTAAAAAAACTATATTACAAATGTTATGAGCTGAGTCATGTGCGGCAGGAACTTGTGGAGACAATAAAATGTGTCACCTCAAAGCTGAAATGAATTAATCAATCAAAAGCACTTATTAGGCTGAAGAAGAAATCCACGTCTCCGTACATTGTTGATTAGTGCATTGATGCTCATCTAAATTATGCTTGCATGTAAATTTGATCGCTTTTTTATTTATTTACTTATTTATGTTTTGTTTTCATTATTGTTGTTTGTTAATAAACCAGGAAATCTCGCCGTTTGAGGATGTCTTGTCAATACCCATTAGATAGTTCGACACAAGCAAGGCGTGGTAAATAAGGTGCTATATATTATCAGGAGACAAACAAACAGTTAACCTACTTCTAAGGCTTAAAAGCTGTTTGTAACATACTCTCTAAGCGTAGTAAGATAAGACGTTATCTGATGGTCTGCTAATGGAGCCGGAAGTGTTTCGGGAGAAATGTAAAATAGAGAGGCAACAGTTCATCGATTTCTACAGGCTTAAGGACCCGTCTACTTGGATTTTTTTTGTCAATACACAACGAAACAGGAACAAGAACAGGGTTGTGCTGCACTCAAGTTTATAACTTATTTTAACGGCGCCGATGGATTGTTTGAAGCAAATGAACGGTCCATAATAGTCCCACTTTACAACATGATGTTAAAGGCCGGGCCACGTATGTCGTACGACCGTCGTACGACCGAAAACTGTGGGCATTCTTATGGCAGTGGTGTTCTGAAAATTACAGCTGTAGTGTACCAGATACGTAGACGGTTTGTACTGATATGTAGACGGTTTGTTGTGTCACAGCCTGTTTAAAAATTGCTCCGCACAAGATATTTTGAGGGCCTACGACGAATGTTACTACACTATAACTAAAAACAATCATGAGTTGTTGCAAATGTCCTTGTCTATTTCTATGTATCAGGTATTGACGTAGGAAGAGTCGAGATTTTAATTCACTCTTAGTATACTACGAATACGTATAAGGTTGCATGTGCGTTCGACTGTAGCCTGAGCCACTGAAATACAACATTAGTGCATAGCATACCCGGCTTGTTTTCCAACTCAACTCAAACCAAACCAAAGGCCTTTGTAAAATTTCATTCTCTGTAATAATTTCTGAATTTCCACAAAGAGTTTGTAGAAGCTCTATAGACATACGTAGAAGCAATTTTAAACAATTGAATTGAATTGAATTGACGGAGATAAGACAGTAAGCGATTTATGTAGTGAGAAAAAAACATGAGAGCAAAGCTCTTACATACCGACAGTGACGTTCACGGCCAGACCACATCCCACTGCCGCCACGGCAAATACGAGGCATCGCAAAACACCTTTCATTTCCTCCGCTGTCTCCGACCAAAAACACACAGAACCGACGTGGAGCGGTCTTATGTGATCCACCAAGAAAATAGGTAACAAAATTATCGTTGCCTAAAGGTGTCAATTTAGATACGAGTGATGGAGGATGGCCGCCACGTGAACTGGGCTGCGTCAACTCGTGTTACCCTCCTGTGAATCACGACCACCTCGTATAATTGAATTAAGTTGTTACCATGGCAATTAGAGTGCAGCCTTGTGATTGATTGTTGTACTGTGTCATCATGTTGAGCTGCTTGCCCTGACTGTTTCTCCAAGTGTTTCTGTCTTTCATAATGTGGGCTTTCATGATCTTTCCGCCGGGGTCTGCATCTATAAAATCATAGGTACCATACACCAGGTTGTATGCATGATATACTTATTTCAGTGTAGGTAATGCGAAATTTTAGCAATTTAGAAACGAATATAGGATAAACATACACCACAACAGAGCAGCTCGAGCTAGGGTAACCGTCCCTGCGTATTTTGTTAATGACTTTCAGGGACAGATCCCAGGAAGCCATCGCAGACCACAGCCATGGCCATTAGATAAGATAATCCAATAACATTGACCTTGTGGATCTTCTATTAGTATAGATGTGTATAATTGTCTTCATCATCGAGACATAAAGAGCAAAAATGGACCTTATTATTAAGTGATCGTCTAGTATGGTGATGCATTAATTTCGTTATAGACTCAACGTGTCATTACAGGCTTTGGTAGAGTAGATTAGCACGCGGAAGTTGCCAGGCGCTGTTTCATACACACTTGTTGAGCAATAAACTTATCATCAAGAACTTTTCTAAAAAGTTTCCACTGCATTCATCTAACTTCCTGTAGTGTCCCTATCATAACATTTTTTTTTACACAAAATAGATATCAATGCATGACGAACCAATTTTTTTACATCTCTACTTCTCTAACACTTTATTTTGCTTTGGTGTAAAGAGTAACGATTTTTGCACATCTTGTCTTCACAGGGATCTTCAGAGAGAAGATGTTTCGACTCCTAACCGTGTTCCATTATCTCATCTTATCACGGCAATCTGGCTTCCTACAATCTGCAACAATCAGTCAATCACTCGAACATATCGTACATATCCTTATTTGACTGGTTCTTGTCTTTATAACTGTTATGTTAAACGATAAAAATTAAATTCTAAAATTCTAAGATTCTTTATAAGATTCAACATCTTTGGATTAGATTTTTTTCTTCTTGTCAATATGAAGGAGCAGAAAGTAGATCACGTAGATCAACCTATGTATATATGGCAATGAATTGCCTTTCAGCTAGGAACCACAACCTTACCCTAAGCTACTCGCCTTTCTTTCATAACCGAGTTACAAGTTGAGTCCATTCCATTTTGAAGATAATGTAGTTTCCACTAGACCCATTCAGGATCTTATCATTGCTGGCAGAAATCGGCCAAAATAAAGTTATTGATCTGCCAATGGAGTTAGCCAGCCATATAAGAGCCAGCCGTTTGCCAAGTTGACCATAATGGGGGAGGGGGGCATTTTGGCAAGTACAGAGAAACGACTTCGCCGTAGGGCTAACTATATTGACTCAATTATTTACTCCATTTGTGCCGGGTTTTAGTTTCACCAGAAACAGTGTTTTTTTTGTAATCTATAGGTGTTTGTGACTGGGCAGTGCTATGGTATTTTGTAGATAAACCTGTTTATGTGCGTGAGGTCAATCTCAGCATCACCTAGCGAAGTAAAGGGACAATGCAAAAACATACCTATTGTGTTTAAAACATCACCTAGTGATACTTAGTAATACTACAGGTGTGTTTATTTTAATCTCCAAGCAGATTCGCTGTGGCAAGGGGAATTATGTTGTCTGCCTGTATCCATTGGCCGCCTGGTTATATGCCGGTATGGACGATGAATACAGGCGGCCAACACGAAGTCCCCTTGCCCCATGCACCGAATCTGCTTGGAGATTATGTTGTTTTCGTTACGTAGGTGGCGCACTTGGTCATTATTCTGCCGCCCGATGTGTGTATATTGCCTTAGGTTGAATATCACAGGTCGTATGTACACGAACATGGTTCTGGGCCCACGTACTCCACCCACCCCAACTGACGATTCACACGATAGGACAGTGACACCTGTCTCGTGCTATACGAGCAATCACGTAACAAAGGGTTGGGGTCAATGTCTGGAAAATGTACGCCTGTCAGGAAATTCTAAAGAGTAGCTTAGCAATCTTCAGGCAGCTTACGCTTGATGATGAGGCAAAAGTATGGACGCTTAAACTTTGGCTTTAACAATTGTGCTAATGAGGTGTTGGTTAAGGGTCTATTACAATATCTATCGTCACAGGCCATTATCAGAGTGTCCCTAATTTACTAGCGTAGACCCGTCATACGAAGAATACGACTGAGCCCTAACCTCACGTATAACGCACGTAAAGACAGACAAAGCAATATATTAATACGTTCGTCCAAGTTTGCAACATGATCATGAAAAATTAGAAAAGCTATATATAATTCTTTTCTTCCTGGCTTTATCACCATATGCTCTAGGCACGATGCAGAGCAAACTTCAAGGATTACACTCATATTTGTCGATTTGAACCAAGTGGTTTACGACACTACAATGTTAACCCACAGGGTGCATGTAGCAAAGGATTATGGGAAGTCTGATATAAGGTGAATGAACTTGGGTGTATGCTACCACAGGTCATATATTCTATTGTAATATGAAATGCTAGTTTGTCGTGAGGGACAACTACTAACCAAGTATGAACCATATACAAAGATTTTGTCTTACTTGCAGGACGTTACAAGTAAGCTGTCGGTTGAGTCATGGATTTTCCGGGAACTTCTTACGTCTGGCCCCTCATGTATACTTAACCACACCTTAGGTCAATGACACAGGCAATCAGTCACCGGGAAGGGACAGCTGCACAGAGAGACCACCTGCACGACTCAGACAGATGACCTGTATTAACCCTGGTTTGGGGCGTGAACATGCACAAGTCGTTCACTTCAGTCTCTGAGTCATACCCCAGACTCGTCAAACAAGGGGCCCTGTCATTCGTCAGGCGACTTAAGTAATTATGTATGTAGAAGTGGGCCACTGCCCGGAGGACTGTAAACACAAGGTGAACGTTAATTATATTTGTTCAGACAACCAATGAGTAGTGTCCAAACTTCTGTAGGCCGACCACTCCCGCATACCTTAACGGCACTTGGGGAGAGGCTCTCACACTTGGGGCGAGGCGGGGAGGGGAACGTGTTATCCAGACTCTCAGATTCCTGAATTTTCACTGAATTTGGTGAGTGCTCAATATTACTTTGAAATATCTTTGTTAGAGGGTTCATAGCTTGTATATGATGTTGATATGTTGTTACAGATGTGTTTATTAGAAACTACAACAGAAGATACATAGCTTGCAAACCATCACAAATAGGCAAAATTATTAGTTTTTAATGTTAGAATATGTTAAAATACATTTGTTGATCATCTGCTTATCTTTGATGCATTGGATATGCTCTTATGCTTAGCTATGCAATCGTTTAGTGTCCTGTATATGTATAAATATTTCTTCAGATTCATTCAAGTTTTAAAATGGTGACTTCTCCCGCGTGCCTCGTTTTCGTGCAAATCTCGCGCGACAACGTCCTTCTGTAATCTCGCGAGAGGTAATAAGTACAGTGAAGTTAATGTCATGAAAATGATTATGGTCATATAACCGACCTTAACTTCAGTGAACTATAACAATGTGTACAAGGTCAGTGAACCATAACAACCTACACCTTTCAGTCATCTACGTAATTGTGCCCACCCAGATCTGTAAACCGAACCAAGGACATAATACATTAGACTGTATAATGTCCTTGACCTAACTAAAATACAAGCTAATACGTCACCAACTTGATATGGAGGTTTTATGAACAAACAAAATAGGAGAATGGAGAAATTATCTGATCTATTTTTTACGAAAAAGGTAGTTGGCGGCTTGGCGCCAATCCTATGACGTTGAAAACAACACGGGATCTCAAGAGTAGTAGTCTAAGTAAAGTTTGACCCCCCCCCCCCACACACACACGTGCACCCACCCACCTGCGTTAAATCGTTTGTCGTCCATGTTTTGGTGTCATCGTTTTCTTGCTCGCTCTATTTTTGGCTGTCGTTTTAATCGTTCACTGAGCACGGCTGGGTGCCCTTTGACATTTGGGGCAGGTCTAAGTCTCGTTGCTTTTTTCTACATTCCAATGTATCTATTTTTATTCCGTACACGAATAAAGCAAAAAGCTAAAACAACAAACTGAAGCAAAAAGCTACCTGGCCGGAGGGAAAAGGATTAAACACATTTGACAAATGGCTATTATTTATGTCGGGAAAAGGCCTGCAGCGGTTTTTTTTTTGGGCTTCCTCCCCTTACCCTTGTAAGGGGAGGAAGACCAAAAAAAACCCGTAAAAGTAGAAAGACGTATCAAAAACGCGAAAATACTGCCAAAATACCGAACGACCCTACCTCTGCTTGGAGAGTAAGCAACAACAACTAAAACTTCATCGTGGAATCTATTGAAACTGGAATTGTAACAATTCTGGGGTTCAGCAACAACAATGGCGGCCTCTGTTTATATATGATCAGATGGATTAAGCTATTTCCGGACATTTAAAGACAAACACGTTACATGATTGGGGTAGCAATTAGCGTTTTTATATAGGTAGCAGCTCTCTGGGGGGTGAATGACCTCCCTAAGGAAAATCAGTGATCATTAGCAAATGCTTCAATACTTCTGAGATGCAGTTGGATTTTTTTTCGCGGCAAGTATCCCTATGCACGTGCGAGGTGTGGTGTTTACGAAATGAGGATAAGGTCACATATTCGTTGTAAGATCGTCGCACGATCGCAGACTGAGGGCATTCTTGGAACAGTCTGCATCATAGATCAAAACTCAGCTGGTCGGGGAAAGGTTGTCTTTCGTCGGCGGTTGGTTCTGTCACTGTTTGCTTGACAATTCTACATCAAAAATCGCACGGCAGCCTACGGTGAGCGTTATCGCAAGTTGGGTGTGCTTTGGATGTCACACTTGACCAAAATTGTATATACTTGCAAATTCAGCAATTGTTGAAGGGGTTCAAAATGGGTTTAATTTCAGCAAGAAAAAAACAACAGAAGGTCGTTGACCCCGGCTACGACCCATTTTGCACCACAAACCCCCTTCTGTTGACGTCAATGTAGATATTGTTTGGGGCCATCACCCACTGAAGCGGACAAGCAACTGATCTGACCAGTGAACCATTTTTATTTCGACACTTTCCGTGTGTGAGCAAAGTTGCAACCATCGGGACGCAAACACCAGTACCGACTGGACGATAATACTTACTGGGTACGTTGTCATCTTTTATCCATGTTAGCTTTGCATGAACCAGTGTTATGTCTAACTTGATAGCTTTGCCTCGACAACTTCTGATACCCAAGCTTCCTGGGCCTACCATGCTATCTGATTTAGTGTTTTGGAGTGTATATACGTTTGTATTATTTTTTTCCGGTAATAACCAAAGTTAGTTCTGTAGGCTTTAAAGCTAAATAATTGTTATGTTCATTATAACGTCACATACAAGTCAACTCTCGGGGTGCATAAGTTTCCCGACTAGATATTAAACAAGTGTCAGAACATGGTTGTAGGAATACGAACATACTAAAGTATTAGGAAGCATGTCTTTAAATCAACTGTGGGTAGTTACATTTTTGCAACGAAAAGCCCCCTTTAACACCCTCTTTCATGAGAGGCCGTGACTGTTGGGCAACCAATGACTTGACAGATCGTTCAACGAATTTCACACCCACAGCACCCCAAAGTACGGTTTTTAACGTTTTGTGCCTTGTTGTCTTTTGTTAATACTTTTGCATCGTGCATGATATTCCAGTCATAAAATCAAGGGCTGTGCAAATGCAATTTGTACATGCAAAATCTTTAGAAGCCGACTCCAAACAATGGGAGGTGACCACAGCTGACGCCTCCGATACTCAAGGACGCATATCGTTGAATGGGCTTCAGACACAACCTATAGATATACGTTAGTAATCTGCCTATACACTTCCTATCTGCCTATGTTCCTATTTGACATTCATAACACGTCCCTACGTGTGCCAAATATTTCAACAGTTGATTTTTTTTTGCTATCTGATCACCGTACGTAGCTAACAATGGGGCTAATGACCAGTAGGCACTGGATCTCGTTTCACCGTTCCACATCATACAATAAAGGTTGATCTGACACTGATTACTGTTCAAAAATGCTTCTATCTATATTCCATTGAAAGTAAACGGTTGGAGTTACGTGTCATGTACATACATGTATCAGTGACTTCCCTCTGCCCTCAAGTGAGAAGTTTGCTAAAATAAAAAAAAACTATATTATCGATATTTTTATGACCTCGCTGGCCATGGCACGCACCTGGGTAAGTACATCACGTGTCCAATACATCACGTGTACAATAGCCTTCGGCATATGCTATGGTACCCTGTGTTGCACAATTGACTCTATAACCAGACTACACAGATAGAGTGTGGCACAGGATAATGGACCTTGTAAATATCTGGGTTGTGCACTTACTGTACTGTTTTTAGAGTTTTTGTAAATATACATTCTGCCACATTTTGTATACGTCTAAATATCAACGCTATTCAGGCAGCATTGTATGCCATGTTTGTCTGTTATGTTTGGTTTGTTAATAAAGAATTGAATTGAATTAAAATTGCCGTTCAGCTCTAAGAGACTGATTTAAGAAATGAGAGTTACCGGCAGGAGCTAAGGATTGCCTCTGTGTCACTATGGAAACCAGTCATCACAGCCTCCAGCACAATAGTAACAGTCGGACTATAATGGGTAGATGTCATAAGTACGTAAATCAGGTTTTAGGATGTCCCCAATTCTCCTGACTTAAAGGTTAGACCAGCTGGCTTCTAGGGCCTGACCAGTGGAAGGTACTCTTGAAGCGTGATTTAGTTAGGCTAAACGTAAATGCATCATCCTCATCTAGCAAGCGCCGCAATGGTGCTATAGATCTAATATTATGATGCCCACATTCTAATGTTTGGGTTTTATCTCTATGGTCTCATTCGCCATGTATTAATGAAGTATCATTCTCGACCTACGCATATATACGGTCATACTTCTTCCATTGACACCTACTTGGCGCATAGACGTACATACGTGTTTTCAAGGCTAGACTGCGCATGATCGGGGGGCAATGTCCTTTGTAGAACGCCCCCGGCTGACATGTCGCCACAGCTTGTCGAAAGGATCAGAGTGATAAATGTCAGGAAATGCGGGGTATCGAGTCTCTGCAGTAGTCAAAGCTTCGGCTTTGGGAATAAACCCCCAGAACGTATACGTATAATATACACGAAGCATAAAAGGCTAAGCAGCTTGAATAACTCAGCAGTGATTTAGCCTGTAAAGTCAGTAAATCCAACTCGTGCAATAGAGTTTATCAGTTGTCGTACGGCACTTTTTTATTCTCTTCGGAACAATTAGGCACTAGTGGTGCTGTAGAATAATAAATTAATAGACTGCAATGCACGAGTTGTAAAGGGCCATCTCATAAAGCCATCTCAAATCCCCAGGTTTTCCAAGGTTATGGAGAGTACACCGATTCGTCCCGTGCTGCTTTTCTATGAAATCTTGGAAATTTTCCAGGAACTTGCGTCGATACCAAGCTTTATGGTTTTTCTGTTTGTTGTTACCAGGCAAAAGATAAACGTGAGATAAACCAATACAGTTTAGTAATGTTTAACCGTTCAACCAGACTGTTATGTGTGTGGAGATCAGGGGCCTTCTATCGTCTGCAGTCAGTGTTATTGTCATTCTTGCTATTGCCAAACTTCTCTGGGGAAAGACAAGACAAGATAAGGTTAGTCCTAAGGTAAGGTAAGGTAAGGTAACTGAACTGAACTGAACTGATGGGGCATGTCTTGGGATTTCCTTTCTATGCAAAAACGGACAGGGATGCAGTAATAACTACTAGCTACAGGCTAGCTGGTGTGTTGCCATGCAAAAGGAGGGGCGTATCCAGCAATAAGTAGAACGAAGCACCTTGTAAATGTTATGGGCAATGAACATTCTTCATTGCAAAGCGATTTCTTACCAAAGAGCGTAAGAAATTTTTTAAGATCTGCAGAAAGATCAAACGAAGGAGTTTATCAAATGACTTGATTTTAAAGATTTGGTTTTGTGTCTTTTGTGATTAATTGCTAACATACGAATATCTATCTACCGTAATGGTTATCATTGTTCACTACATTTTTATAGTTATATTGTACGATTACGTTATACGTTTGTATTCAGTTTTCCTGTCATGAGCTGCCTTGGAAACCAGTCCTAACCGGCTAGTGTAAGGTATCGAACTCTTAACACCCTATAATGCTATCATGTTATGCAAATTATCTTGGCAAAGACTTCTCCAATTGTTGTATACACTGTACCCAGATCATACTTCAGGTTGGGGGGATGGCTCATTAACATGATTTAGGAATTGACGTTGGATCTGCGAGAGGTTATAACTATAAATAGATTTCTTGGGTTACTGGAGGACAAGTCAGGTGCGTCCGTTCCACTGAAGGACGCTGTGTGTAATGCTGAGTCGTCAGAATTGCAGGGTAGCAAATATTGGACGACCACTGCAAAAGTAGGTGAGACCATATGACCTCACGTTTTACTCTGGTTTTATGTAATAACGATTTCTATTTTCTAATTTGTGCCGAGGCTAATTGCAAAATTGCAAAGGAGCAATTGAATACTACTATTGCCGGCGTATATAGCGTATATAGGCGTATATAGAGATATTAAGTGTATTTTACATTCATTATCGTGGAGTATGTGGCTATAGGAATTTTAAACGCTTTGCATCACAAATGGCGTATGTGAATTTAGTAGACATTGAATGCAACAATTAATCAAATGATGTGCACGAAGCATGTGATTTTAGATTCCCATTAGATGATTATCACAGCATGCAATAAATAGTAGTTGATTAAACATGTTCTTTGGTGTAGAAAAAGAAGTGAGAATTACATGCAAAAGAATAATTGATACCAGTTGTTTTGCGTGAAAATGTTAAATAGACATTTGTGGTGAATGTATTTTATTAACACTGCATCATTTTTTATATAATTTTTTATTCTATTTTTATTCATATATATTTGCTATCAACAATGAACCTGCATATGTACATGGTCCCCTATACCAGACCTTAACCTTGAATGCGCCGAATCACGCCTCAGGTGCTGCACGTTGGCCGAGTATGTCAAAGGTAGACGCCCGCAGACGGGAAAGATCCCGCCGTCAATAAGACATCACTGTGACGGTACAGTCGGCACGTGCGCACGTGTACTGGTACATGTGACAGTCGGCAATTGGTATACTCAATTGCAAGTCGAGATAAAGTTTTTGGCACAACAATTAAACGTGTGGGGTCGTGTGGCGTAGCGGCAGAGTGCGCGACTCGGAACTTAGAGTCCCGGGTTCGAGTCCTGACATGCCACCGATCTTGTGCCCTTGGGAAAGGCACTTTACACAGCTTTCCTCACTTAGCTCAGGTGTAAATGAGTATTGTCCTGTCATGTATTTGTCCCCTGTGTTGGTGGCGGCATTAATTTAAGTTGAAAAAACTTGAGTGTGTCGACACCACGTCTGGTGATTACATGTTGGAATAAAAATAAAAAATTAAACGTGTACGAGGCAACGCAAGGTGTTGTATACGGCCGCTAGCTAATACGAGAATTAATCTAATAATCTACGTAGGGCTATTAAGAAAAATTGACAGAAGACAAAACTATATATTGATTGATACGCAGTCGATTGATCATGAATGCTGCAAAATGTCCTCCAGGCAGGCCTACTAGCCTCCTTCGCAGTCTTGTTGGGCGTCGGCGTTATTTTTTCTTGTGGCAAAACCTCCCTCGGCAGCAAATCGTCCCTCGCGGCCGCATATTACTCGCGTCGCTCAGAGAAAAAATAACGCCGACGCCCAACAAGACTGCGAAGGAGGCTACAGGCCTACCATCTCTAGTTTGCCAGTTGGTCGAAAGTCGCCAGGAGTTTCTTTTCTTCTCTAGCTTTGATCTTTGGAACCGTTACGACTTCCACAAGCTAAAGTGACTCAAGTATTCCAATATCCGGACACAGGACGCTGGTGAAAAGAATGGCACTTTATGACGTTCGTCTGTCTCTGGTGACGTAAAATAATCGTTTAAGTAGAAGCCTTAACACGGAAGTATATACTTCAACAGAGATGAAGTTTATTACACTAACAGGGGTGCCGGACTTTCTCCTCTTATTCTTAAAAGCATTTGAAAGGCAGTCTTTAAGTCTGATTTGAAAGAGGCTTGTGACGTCTTCTTACAGTGACAGTCACCTCCTGATAATGACCTAATGGATGCTCTCCACTAGAAAAGACGTCATATTCCGTCCTCTTCAAGCCTTATTCCAATTCTTTTTTCCCTTATTGCCAAGCCTAAGAGATATTCACTTCCCGTGAAAGCTCTCAAATTGTGCATATCCCTTGCCCCATCTCCCAAGCCTGTCATTACGACATAGGAAATGATAGCCGGAAATTACACGGTATGTCTACTCATATTGTTATCACCGGAGAAAAGTTTTTGTGTGACATCATGAGGGAATGATTTTTTTCCATCATGGTAGAAGCAAACCCTGCATTAAAGTGGGATTTACAATACGGCCTGGTAATTCTGGAAATGGTCGATTTAGATGGCGACAGTATAGGCAAATCCCATATTTTGCAAGTTCCTTTTATTGGTACAGATACCGTTACCGCTACACAAAAGGCGATCTTTTTGATGTTTTTGGTTTAATGTCTGCCAGATATGTCAGATGATGAAGATGCCAGGTGTAGGCCTGATAATTTTTCTCAAAGAATCAAATCCCAAAAGAAACCATTACCGGATGTACCTGGCATTTACCACCGTTATTAAATCCCACCTTTCGATTCCGCGCCATGCAACGGAGATAATTTGATCATTAGCTAGCGCTTATTCAATGTGTACTTCACGTGAGTGTCACTGAGCCTCGGGCATCTTCCGGTGCAGTACGTGGGCAGCTGAATAGCCAGAACCTCCGGACAGACTCTAGCACTAACATATAGGCAATTAAGACAGGAAACGAGAACAGTTCTATTCATATATCAAATGTATGGAATTTTGTAGCATTCGAAACTAGCTAGAAACACGGAATAGAAAATCTAAATGGGTAGAAATTGTGAAAATGATTGATATGGATTGCTCAGCCGTTGCATGACATTTGGCCGTAACATTCCAGTTTCGCAGACGACACGAGGTTTGCGGTTGGTTAGCGATGTGGTTTTGTAGATAGGGATGTTGACTTAGCTCCATAGACTCTCGGCAGGTACTGGGTTTAAATCCCATGGTAGGGGCGTTGTCTTGATGGAAAAGACACATGGCCCCAACGTTGTGTTAATGGAAAAGACAAATTTAAACCTGATTTCTCACCTGACTCAGGTGAAAATGAGTACCTAGCTTCGGTTATGGGCGTCCTCTTGGATGGGACGTGAAGCCAGAGGTCCCATGTTTGAGGAGAGCCACACACGTATGGAAAATATAAAGTTCCATTCCATTGTGTGTGGCATAAACCTTCCAGTCCTGTAAGGTTGCTGGGAGATTGACCAACATTGTACAATTGTAAATATTGATAACATATTTTATTATGGAAAAACATTAAATTTTATACCAACACACAAGTATTGGGACTCGCCAGCTCTTCGACCAGTCTTTTGGTCCTAAAGGTGAAAATTCGACTAGTAAAAAATGTGATTCTTAAAATCTTTTTCCCTACTGTAGTTATCAGATCTAAACGAAGCCAACCTGCGCACTGCGTTTTGCGCACTTTCCTGAAGGGATGGTTTCCAAGAATTCTGCGGTTCTCTGCCATTCATAAAACAGTTCTGGTACCTGATTGGTTGGAAAGGCTGCTGATTGCATTGACAGCACAGCTTGAGATACTTTCAACCAATTAGGTCAGTTTTTGTAGTCATGCCAGACATGTGACCTAGATGCATATGTAATACCTATTGTATTTACATGATATAAAGAAGGGAGAGTTTCTCATATGTGTTCACATCTCATCCGACAAAGCAGGCAAGATGAAGCGGGCTCTGCATCAGCATCTTGTGGCGAGAAAGCTGGGCGCCGACGCCGCGACCATCGGCCGCACTGGCGGGGAGAAGGGCACCTTCTCCCCGCCCACCTCCGTCCTTGGGCACGGTGACCACGTGGGGACCGGCCCGACAGCTCAGCCCTGCACGGCCCGGCCGTTTGACGAGATGCCCGGACCGAGAGGACTGCCTCTAATTGGATCATTGATGGATTACACCCCTTTAGGCAAGTTTTGCGGTTTGTCTTCTCTCTGATTCTTTTGTTTTGCTAAAATTGGTACACCCTGCAAAATAGGTTTGAGGTACCAATGTTCACCTATCTGTAAAGTCTTGTCTTGGCCAAAGATTCGATGTTCAAGAAGAAGACGATATGGATCTTATCATCATTAGTGATCAGATATAGAAACAAGTCTCTCAATAATTGTAATCCGTTGCATTGCATTGCTTATTCCAACAGCTGGATGCTCTTTATTGTTTACCTGTCTTTCTGACATATCTTTTTTATGTTTAAATGTTTATGAAAAAGTTGATGCCATTACCGTTCCGTTGGAATATACAGGGCCCAAATTTTACTCCCAGTCAATATGAATGAACAAATTTTGAATAGCTATGAAACATCGATCTTGAATGACAAGACCTGTTCAATGATGATTTGAAACGATCCCCGGGCCGGGGTGAGTTACGATGTTTAGAGTAGGCGTTTGTCTTCAACAACCGTTAGAAGAAGCCACGTGCCAATTTTCACTGTTATCGGAGTGCATGTTTTGTCCAGCAGGTCTTGCTTTGAAATTTCAAGTAGCTTGTTTTCTTTGAACTGCAGTAAAGTGGTAACTAGGCCACCTGAGAAAAGACAAGAACCTAGGTTTCTTTTGTGTTGTGAACTCATTCTAGGCAGAAGGAGTTTTATAGTCTACATACGATCCATTCATTGTGGCAATAAAAATACAATGAACCTCCCTTCGGAATACTCGCGTTCATTCAGTAACAGGCCCATTCAGCCCGCCGGTTTTTCAGGAATCTGTATTTGGATATCTTTTGATGACTTACTTCAAAGGCTAGACTATCTGGAACATTGCGGTCAGCGACCTAAGTCTCACTGTGTTGTAAAAATGCCTTGCAGCAAGGGAACTCGACTGCTGTGAGTCGGAAATCAATCTTTAACACGCTTTTCCGCTTCTAACAGGTCCCTTCAGCTTGAAAAAGCTCCACGAGTCATTTTTCGAGCGCTACAGGCAGTTTGGGAAAATCTCCAAGGAGACCATCGGAAACAAGTGCTTCGTTAGTGTGTACGATCCGCGCGACATCGAGACACTGTTCCGCACCGAGGGCCCCAACCCCAGCTGGATGCAGCTCATGGCCCTGGGCGAGGTCCGCAAGAGACTGGGAAAATCCATGGGGATGATCAACGAGTAAGTTCAGATTTAGATTCAGATATTTCTATTGCAATTGCATGTAACTTGCATGTTACAGACACTTTTATGATAACATCCAATCTGTTGAATTTCCATAAAAATAAATAGAAAAGAAAATTACACACAAAAACGAATGTACAACATCTTAAAAGCAATTAAAAAAGGTCAAAACATGTAATTTTTTGCACAATGCAAACTTGTACTTTGATAAGATCACGATTGCTTGGCAGATTAAATGCCAAGGTCACTATGCGCGTGTGGAAGAAGCAGCGTGTTGCACCTTTGTGTCCTGGTGATGATTACGCTCCATTCGCAACAGAAATCTACTGTACCATCCCTGTCCTTGAAGACAAATTACATCCAACATAACTCCATGTCCCGAATTACACCATTCTTGAAGGTTAAATTGCTTCTTAATTTGATTTTGACACCCCTAATTTTACCGTCCTTGGATATCAATTTGATTCAAATATCATAGTCTTTTACGTCGATGAAGGTTAGGCATCCAGGTAATACGATACGCCAAAAAGCAGTTACTCAAGCAACTGGATATAATTTTGGAAACGGTCACCAAAACCAACCGTTTCCAAAATCATATCCAGTTGCTTGAGTAACTGCTTTTTGGTGTATCATCATCTTTTACTTCTTGGTGCGAAATATTGTTTTGGTGGGTTCTCTTTGGATTTGCCTGTATGTTTGTTCGAACAGAGTAGGTGACAGCACGTGAAAACCTAGGACACTGGCTAGGAGTGAGGATATAATGGGCGACATAGTTGGGAATTCAGGAAGTCGAAAATTGCATGAGCGATCTTCCAAGCCGGTACAGGTGTTCTCGACTGTTTCAATAAATTCACGAAAACCTAAAATACTTCCCGGAAATCTGAAATGTCAGATTTCTGTTTCTAACGCAGATCGGGAGAGAAATGGCGACAGCTTCGCTACGCAGCTCAGTCCAAGCTTCTCGACCCGAAGAGCGTCTGCTGCTTCGCCCCCGTGCTGGACGACATCGCGCAGGGTTTCGTGGACAAGATGCGTGCGGGAAGAACCTCGACATTTGAACCCTCGATTGACATGGACGCAGAGCTCCGGAAGTGGTCATTGGAATGTAAGTCACTGCACAGTTAACTTTGATTTAGAAAATTGATTTATCAGCGTTATACATGCTTTTTTCAACAGTGTCCCTGAAAGATGCGAAAACTGGCTGCAATACCATAGAAAGCCGTTAGAGGACCATAATCGAACTTACCCTTGCCAACTTTAATCCACGAACAAACGTCGAAGAAAACGTTTTGGGTATCAACTATTTCTTTAGAGTAGTAAGGCAGTCATTACGACATGTCTAATGACTGCCGTTTCGTATTAGAAATAACAGGCTTTGTGCGTCATAGTGAATATAAATTGATTGATGGAAGACGGTTAATGGTCTTGAAGAGTCTGATGTACGTCACCGGCTGTGACAAAGGAATGGGGCGTTAAATCGTTATTCAACGTTCACGTTCTCAGTCTAGGTCCTTGATTCCTAATGGCCCAGTCATTAACGCAACCAAAGATACTTGAAGGCTAGCTTGCTGAAAGCTGTTACAGACATAACGAGGTCACAACCTTCTACTTCAAGTCCGCCTACATGCATTAAACACTATTGCATTAATCTTTTACGTCAGCCAATTTCACCATTACCCACGTGCCGTATAACGTACAATGGCTTCGCAAACAAGTGGCAGGAGCTCCGATCCATCGAAAACGTAAAAACTACTTGTCAAGTGCACGCCTGAGAACGAGTAAGTACTTACTGTTTGGATTCCCTCTGCAGCGGTGGTGTCGGCAACCCTGGGAATACGGCTCGGCTGTCTGCAGACCGATCGGCAAGATCCCGACAAGGACACGGAGGACCTCCTCGAAAGCAGCGAAGCCTTCTTGGAGACATGGCCGACGCTGGAACTCGGACCGCCTCTTTACATGCTGTACCCAACCAAGACGTGGAGAAAGTTTCTTCGAGCCAATGAACAGTGGCTAAGGTATTAAATTTGCTTGGATATTTCAGATGACTCATATGGCAAGATTTTGCGATTCAGCGCTCTCTAGATCTGCTTAGCAATACTTGGAACAGTTTTTGTCAACAATAGAATCTAACGTAAACATGCCTCCACAACTTTCAGTGCGGCCAGCAGGATGATTGACAGATCTTTGGACCGCAATGAGAGTCCACGAGATCCCTTGCAGCCGGAAGTGACGTTGCTGGAACACATTGTGACCCGGAAGGAGTTGACTCCGGACGACATTGTCATGATCATCACCGAGCTGATCTTTGCCGGCATCGAATCGGTAAGTATGACAAGGTTTATTTTAAGAAAAACAAAATTGAGAACGGTACACAAAAAGTTGTTTTGTGTTTACTGTTATCCATCACAAGGGAACACGGTTTACGAACGCGTGTTTTGATGCTCAAGTAGGGTGGGCAAAGGTGCCCGGAAGTCGATACCTACCACCGTCGTATTTGCTATTAAAGTAGCAGCAAAACGCACGTACATCAATATTCCAGTTGCTTCTCTGACTTACGGTACTGTTCAAACAATTTTTTTGCAGTCAGCGTTTGCAATGACGTACAATCTTTACACGATGGCGAAGAACCCGGCCGTGCAAGAGAACGCCAGAAGAGAGGTTCACGCGGCGGTGGGGAGGGGCGGAGAGATCACACAAGATGCCCTCAAGTCTTTGAAGTATGTCAAGGCGTGCATCAAGGAAACGTTCAGGTATGTTTCAAGGCATCATAATCGTCACATTGTTTTATGTTTGTTGAATCCTTTCTGACAGGATCTTGGGTCCACGTCTATGTTCTACGACCATACGGCCATAGATTCATATTTTCAGCTTTCAAATGCAGCATTTGTTGGGCCCTAATGATGTAAATGTACGTCTGATTATTCCCATAGGGTCTTCCCTGTTTTCTCGATGAGAAATCGTATCCTGGATAGAGAGATCGTGTTGTCTGGATACAGGGTGCCACCGAACGTAAGTAGAAGTGAAATTTTAAGTGACTTTATCATAATACATATGTTGTAATGTTATAATACATATGTTGTAATGTTATAATAATCAACTTGATTATTAAGCTCATGCAATTCAAGTAATCAATTAATTTACTAGGAAACATTCTGTATTTGCTCTGTAAATGTTCTCTTTTTGGTATATTTATCAATCAACAAAAGATTGTGTATATGACTTCGTAATCCTTGCATCATTGAGTATCGCTATTATTGATATGTACAATAATCATTATCAATATCTTCCTATAACCTGCAGGTGATCATCCGGGTGTTGTCTCACGTGACCGGGCAGGTGCCGGAATACGTGCCGGAGCCGGACAGATTCTTGCCCGAGCGGTGGCTGAGAGACGACCCGACCCTGCCCAAGCCGCATCCCTTCGCCGTCAGACCCTTCGGTGTGGGCAGCAGGAGCTGTATCGGACAGCGGCTGGCGGAACAAGAGCTGGTCATACTGCTGGCAAAGGTGTGTACCACATCATCTCAGTCTGCCAACTTGACCTTAGTGTCAATTTGCGGTAACCAGATCTCCCTTTAACTCCCCTGCCACAATTAGTATTGACATATTTACGGACTAATATTACTGATTAATTAAAATACTTACAAACACACACACACACACACACACACACACACACACACACACACACACACACACACACACACACAC